TGTTAGCCCAACAGTCACTCCCTGAGTCAGCGTTTTGATGGATGAAACTTGACAGCACTGTCATGTGACACTATACCTATTAAACAGATCCCTGAGCATGTGAAAAAGTTCATTGAGCCCTATGCTGGAGTGAGCTGGTACCTGGTCCTGGGGGATGCCCAGCTCAGCCTGCAGGCGTCTCAGGGCTGCTCTCCTCACTCCCACAGCATCCTTCTCTTCCAGCTCATCAGGCACATACAAAGGGTGACTAGAACAGGAATCTGTAAAATGTCCTAGGGCAAGGTACAACATGGGGCTTTAGTGAGAGCTTGCACACACACCCCAATGGGAAGTTGAGAAGGCTCAGATGGGTTCTCTCACTACTCATTCCTCTGAGGCTCCCAAACCCTAAGTTAAACTCCAGTGCTCCCTGGAGTTGAGCTGGGTGGCTCACCAGGAAAAGTGTACTTGGTATCTGCTCTCTGCTGGACCAAGAGCTGGTTTTTCGTATTGAAGAGGACCACACTGAAGCCTCGGTGTATCAGGCCTGCAAAGTGAGAGTGTACGAGTTAGGGTCACACTGAAGTCAGTGTGGAGTCTGCATATCCATCCCCTTCTGTCTCTAATTCTCATCCAGCTCAGGATGGTGGCACCAAGAGTGGCTGGTAAGCCTTGCTGGGATAGAGTCTATGTGGGTCGCTCAGCATTTGGTGATTCAGTGTTTATTCACACACAGTAAGACTGCAAGTGAGAACTGCAGTTTTCCTCCACTTGTAAACAAAACCTAGAGAGCCAAGAAGTAAAGTAAGCCTTGCCAGGTAGGCTGAGACCCTACTGTGTGAGTCTTGAAACTATATTGTTAGCTGCCTTTGCCACACTGTGCAGGCATGTGGATGACCCAGTGGCACAGAGTCACTGCTTATGCCCTGGAAGTTGCAACACATGAGGCACTGAGAGAGCTCACAATGGGGTGACCTCCCACCACCCCATTTTTCTAGATACAGGTATTACTACATAGACCTGACAGGCCTGACTATGTAGAACAGGCTGGCTTTGAACTTACAGAGATAACTTGCCTCTGCTTCTCTACTGGAACTAAAGGTGTGCAGCACCTCACCCAGCTTGGCTACAATTTCTGCCTTTTCCAACCCATTTCAAGGCAGCAACTAGTGTGCATTACCAAGTCTACTGATGTAAGTGTTAACTGTATCAAGTCAGCAGTACCAGCAGCACACTGGACAGCTGCCTCCTGACACTGCCTGGTTCAGAGAGTGGCCGATGGCACCAGGCCTGCACATGGCGGCCTCCTTCCTGCTCACCCTTGTTGATGTTTTCCATGAGGTGGCAGTTCTTCTTGGTGTCAGCCCCAATGATCTGATCCTGCTTGTCAATGACAATGCACTTCTCCTCCAGACGTTCTATCTGGAGTTCATCAAGGTGAGTTTTGCTTGCCTGGGACATACCTGTGAACATGAATGGACTCTTTTCTGTAACCAGGAAGCATAAGGGAAAAGAGGTGGGCAAGTCCCTGTAATACCAGTGACAGAAATGGCACAAAATGGGAGTGTAACTGTTACGTGGAGAAGGATGAGGTTTTAATGATCAGACACTGAGCTACACTG